CTGCTGGAGCAGGAAAAAAAGAAGGCGGCGGATGTCACCAAGGAGAGCAGCAGGAAGGGCTGGGAGAGCCGCAAGCGGAAGCTGTCTGGAGACCAGCCTGCTGCGAGGAACAAGAAGAAAAAGCTGGGGGCCGGAGAAGGTGGGGAGGCCTCTGTCTCTCCGGAAAAGGCCTCCATGACTTCCAAGGGAAAAGCAAAGAGAGACAAAGCAAGTGGTGGCATCAAGGAGAAGAAGGGGAAGGGGCCTCTTGGCTCCCAAGGGGTGAAGGACAAACCAGAAGAGGAGCTTCAGAAGGGGATGGGGAAGGTTGAAGGTGGAGATCAAAGCAACCCAAAGAGCAAGAAGGAGAAGAAGAAATCGGACAAGAGTGAGTGACCACTTCTCTGGCCCCACACCGAGAGCTGCTGGGCACCTCATGGGGGCAGGAGGGACCCTGAGCCAGCACCTAGTCTCATTTCTCCCATGTAGAAAGGAGAGGCTGAAACCAGCCTGGCCTAAAAATACAAAAAATTAGCTGGGCGTGGTGGTGGGCACCTGTAATTCCAGCTACTTGGGGAGGCTAAGGCAGGAGAATCGCTTGAACCCAGGAGGCGGAGGCTGCAATAAGCCAAGATCGCACTCTTGCACTCCAGCCTGGGAGACAGAGTGAGACTGTCAAAAAAGGCTGAGAAGTGGTTTGTCCAGAGTCATGGGGGCGCAGTTAGTGGCAAAGCCAGGACTTGGTTCCAGAGCACTAGGGCCAGCACTGCCAGGAATGCTCCAGAAGGATGAGGATTCATGTCCTCTTTCCCTGAGCCCAGTGCAGCAGATCTTGCAGGAACCTGCTTCTCCAGCCACTCCGAGTGCAGAGTAGACCAGACACCAGACTGTCAGAATCTTCATGCCAAATCCCATCTTCTCTCTAGACCTCAGTTTTCCCTCCATAGTAACACTGGCTTTCTACTGAGCTCTGTGCTAGACTCTGCATGCAGCAGGTCCTCATTTAGGTAGAAATGAAGCTCAGCAGATAGAAAACTGAGGCTCAGAGAAGTAGAGGTGCTGTTCAGGGCCACAGAGTTTTACTAGGTGGAACCAGAGTCAAACCTAGGCAGCACTCTGAAGCGCCACCCTGGATGGTGGGAAAGGGGTGTATGAGATGCCAGTAATGCCTAAAGAGCCAGCTCATTCTAGAGCAAGAGTCAGGCACCCTCAGAGCAGGATACAGGACCTGCAGCCCCTTGGCACTCAGAACTGTGCTAGATTTCCATTTACAGGGGGAATAGATAGTGTCCGTTTAAAATAAAGTTGCAGTTTTAAAAAGTGAGTTGACCTAAAGAAAAATGGTAGTCATTCAGGTGGTCCATAGATGAGACAGAAATCATGAGCTGGCCCACAAGGGGCAGGTGAGCTGGCACTGCTAGGTGGTCACCAAGGCCACCAGCCTGTTTTGTTTTTATTTTTTTGAGTCAGAATCTTGCCCAGTCACCCAGGCTGGAGTGCAGTGTCATGAACGCAGCTCACTGCAACCTCAGCCTCCCAAGCTCAAGCGTCCTCTTGCCTCAACCCCACAAATCGCTGGGACCACAAGCGTGCACCACCATGCCCAACTAATTTTTGTATTTTTTGTAGAGATAGGTCACTGTGTTGCCCAAGCTGGTCTTGAGCTCCTCAGCTTGAGTGATCCACCTGCCTCAGCTTCCCAAAGTGCTGGGATTGCAAGCATGAGCCACCATGCCTGGCCCTGCCAGCCTGTTGTGATGGCTCCTGGTGATGTGGGGAGAGCTGGGAACCCAGCATCAGCAGAGACAAGTTTCACGATCCTGGGAGCCCTGCCCCTGTGCGCCTCTCAACATTGACCCCAGCACTTAGGATTACCATCTGTTGTTCAGGAAGTTTGCTTTCTTTCCTCAGGAAAAAAAGACAAGGAAAAAAGGGGAAAGAAGAAGAAAGCAAAAAAGGCCTCAACCAAAGATCCTGAGTCACTATCCCAGAAGAAAAAGAAAAAAAAGGTAGAGTGAGTTCCTGAAGGGTCTCAGGCCAGAAAACGGACCCAAACCCAAGCCCCTTCGCTCATACCCAGACCTGGTTCCTGCCCCCTTCCCCTTTCCAGGGCCTGGTGGGGGCCTCATGAGTTGTGACACACCCAGGGAAGAGGCTGGCAGGGCATGTTCCCTGAGCACGTGGAAGCCATAGAAGTGGCCTGCCACTTCTGTGAAGGGTGTTGGGGAAGGAAGGAGAGACTCCTCATAGCACAGGGAAACCAGGTAGACTGTGGAGGTTTCCAGGTGAGAGGAAGCATTGCCTGGAATGTGTGTGCCTCAGCTGGCAGGCTGGCCCTGAACAGGGGCTATCCTTACTGCCTGGTACCTCAGCACCTCAGATATAGATGAAGTTCTCCCCTTGGCCAGCAGGGCCTCAGCTGTATTTAGGAGAGCTGAACATCTGTTTGCCTCTGCCTTTGGGGGTTCCCTGAAGACCCAGTATTTGTTCTGGGGGAATTCACTAGTCCTCAGGAGGTTGGGGCAGCAGTGGGTAGGGAAAAGCTGCAGGTCTGAGCTTCTCGCACTTCCCTCCTCACAGAAGAAGACACCAGAGCAGACTGTATGATGGGCATCAGCACAAGTCACAGGTATGCTTCCCAATCATTCCTGAGCATTCGGGGCTGGAGAACAGCTCTGGCATCCGCTGTAGTCCCAGAGAGCCAGGCAGACCTGGGAAGAGAGCCTCTTCCCTGGTCGGTGGACTCCAAGGAGAAAGGAGGCGGGGGAAAGAGGTTCTATTGCCAAGGGTCCATGGGGCCAGTGGGATGACATCAGGAGCTGGCACTGCAGCGTCAGAAGGATCCAGAATGGTAATGGCAGTGGCTGACATTGAGTGTACCCTGGGTGCAGGGATTGTACATGCTTTAGGGGGTTATGCCCTGGGAGATGGAACCTGTTTGTAGGTGAGATCGGATACAGCTCGGTCTTTCCTTCATTTCTGTCGCGTTTCTTTTCCTCATGATCCTGTAACTTGGGGGCATTTCCTTTTGGGAAGGAAGATGGTTTGCTCAAGATGAGCTGTCTCCGTGGATCTATGCTTCTCTATGGAGGACAGGCCCTGCCAAGTGGTGGTGACAGTTAGCTGCTCCACTGGCTGTGATGGCTCTGCGGTCACCCAGCCTCCTGTAAATGGGGGCAAGGCAGAGCCCGCCTCCTGGGCTGGTGGTGAGGCTTATGTGAAACTAAACGCTGAAGGACTCAGCCCAGTTCCCAGAATGTTCCAATTGCTAAAAAAATGTCTGCTGTGGTTAATTCCTCTCCCCTGCAGTGGAGATGCCAGGCTTCATTTTCCTTGCAGGGGAAAAAGGTCAGAGAATCTGATGTCTGGGTGTGTTTCCTTCCCCCAGGGATTTTTCTATCCGAGTGGTGACCATCCCCCTGCCTCTGACCTCCGCGGACCTCTGCTCACCATGGGTTGGAAATAGATTGTTACCTTCCCCTCGCTCCACAGAAGATAGCCAGCTGCAGGGGTCCCTGTACTGGCCAAGCCAGTGAGCCTGCGGGGAGGCTGGTCTGAGGAGAAAGTGGGCCAGCTCCCATGACCTCGCCCTACTCCCCCAACAAGGGACGCTTCGTATAGATGTGTACAGTATGTGTATTTTTTTAAGTGACCCCTCCTTCTGCAGACCCCCCATGCCCAAAGGCCTCAGGACTTCCCACCACCTTGCTCCACAGATCCAGCTAGGCCCGACCTGTGCCTCATCCCGTGCCGCTCGGTCTCTGGCTGATCCTGAGGCTTTGTCTTCCTCTCGTCAGTTCTTTTGGTTGTATTTTTATTGGTTTTTTTTTTTTTTTTTAAAGAACTCAAAAAAATAAAAGACTTGGAGGAAAGGTTCAGGTTCCCAGTGCATCTGGGGCACAGGTTTCTTGGAAGGGACCATCTCGCCAACACTTGGGATTCCTTCTTGCATGTGTGTTGAGGCTGTAGGTGACCACGGTTAGTGGGACAGGCGGTGAGTTTGAGAAAGAGATGCAATGAAATGCCGAATTGGCAGGGAAGGCTTCCTGGATGAGGTGACATCTAAACTAAAGGATAGTCATGGTTGATTTCCTGTTGCCAGAGTAAGTCACGCAAATACCCAAAGACAAGAAATGGAAGGGGGCCTGAGAAGCCTTGAGCTAGGGGCAGGCTCTCTTGAGGTGCGTGATGGAGAATAGCTGTGGCAGACAGCAGGTCTAGGAGAATCAGGAGTGGTGAGTTGTCCCTCACATCGAGCTCACCATGGTTCTGTGGTGGGGGGGCAAGAAGCAGATGAATATGAAAGACATGACATGGGATGACGTCTTGTGTGTGGAATGAAGGAGGGGAGGGGTAGCAAAGGAGGTCTCCTGCTCCATCCTGGAAATGCAGAAGCCCACTTCCCTAGGCCCAGAATCATATAAAACACCAGGGGTGCTAGAGGCGTCTCCAAAGCTTTTGCCTCTGGAAACAGCCAGAGGTAGTGCAGAAAAGGAATGCAGGGCTGGAGGTGTTGGAGACCCTGCAGTTCTTGATGTTTGGCTCCTCTTAAAAAGACAACATCTGGCAGCAGGGGGGCTGTGCTCCCTCCTGGCAGCAACCAGATAGAGCTGAGTAGCAGTTGGCCCCTTAGGTAGGGCATGGGTGCCCAGTTCTCCACAGTCCCTCACTTCCTGTCCATCCCTGACACTGAGGCCCCGTCTTGGTTGCCATCTGTCTTCACATTCGCACTGTTCTTAGTATAGAAATGAAATTGGGGACGTAGGAAAATGAAAGCTGTACCAAGAGGAGCTTGTGCTTAAAAAACTAGGCAAGAGCTTATTTCTTTTTGGAAGTAAAGAGTGCTCGTGTGTGTTCAACATGTAGTCAAGTATATCTATGTCCAAGACTGCAGGCCTTGCAGGCATCTCTGTCAGTTCTTTGGACCGCATTGTCCCACCCAAATGACACGTTTAGGATCTTTAGTTACCTCCTTAGGATAAATGAACTGGATCCCAACAGACGAGCCAGGAGCCAGAGTGTTTCTACTTACTACTTTTTATTCTAACATGAGCTATGGCCCTGAGAGCTGATGACAAGCTCGACTGAGCAGAGGGAACCAGGGGTCAGCAGAAAGGATTATGGGTAGGGAATCTTGGCTCTTTCTTGGGGAGTGATGGAGGGGAAAGGGAAGAGAGTGGCTTGGCCTACAGGTAGATAGGCTAGGAAAGCTGAGGCCGAAGGCCAGAGGGGAGAGAACAGCAAGCCTGTCCAGCCTGGGGTCTGGGGGTAGGGTTATCCCTTCTCCCTGTGCCTTCCCACCTCATTCATGGGCCTAGATCTCGGAGCCCCGTGTCAGAGGCTGCTGTGATGTCTGTCTAGCTTCTGGCTACCTCCTGGGACCTCACACCCCTGTTGACAAATGGAGATTGGGCAGCAGGGCCCTCCTGCATCATTATCTGCTGTTCCGACTTGGTTTGTCATGTCCAGGGGTGACGGAGAGCCAGGCACCAGGTCTCATGGGATGAGGTACAGGGTGGGAGATGGGGGAGGGGCTGGGGGCCAAAGGGAGCAAGAAAGCTGTGGCTGTGCAGGGCCAGTGGGATGCTGGAGACCACCTCTGCCGTTCTCACATGGCTACTGGAGAGAGAAGCAGCAAGTTGAGGTTGGGGTCATCCATTTGTTGTCTTTGCCCCTTCCTAAAATCCTGGACCTGCAGAGCAGGTGAGGACTGTCCACCCTCCCCTGTCCCCTGCTAGGGTCCAAGTAATAACCATCATGGATTTGTATAAACCCACAGCCCCCCAACCCTCATCTGATGTTCCTCATCTGTGAAATGGTCATCCCAGGGATGTTGGAGAGTAGCCCAGGGTCACATTCCTTCACCTGCCCACAAAGGAGCTGGCCCTGCTGGGGATGAGCTGCTGGTGACCAGATGCCCCTCTGCAAGGCCCTTACCTGGGCCGAGATCCTGCTTGGTCACACCCAGCCCAGACGATGGGTCCTCCAGTTCCAGTGACTCTGCAAAGGAGCAGCAAGTCCATTTGTTACTTGAAATGCAGCCTATCCAACCCTAGATGCCTGAAGGCAGCACTTCCCACCAAAGCAGGTGCCAAGGGAAGGACAGCTGCAAACAGCAACGAAGAGGTATAATGGGGGCTTGAGTGAGAGGAGTGATGAAATGAGATGGCGGGTCTGTAGGACTCCTGGATGCTAGAGGATGGTGCATGGATGAATGAAAATCAGGTGAAAGGACTGATGGATAAGTGAACAAATGTAAGAGATGAGTGGATGTAAGAGGAGAGATGATAAATGGGTAATAGGAATGCACACATGGGTGGATGGATAAAGGGCTGGACACATGACTATGTGGCTGCCCACAGGAGCTGCCATCCCGGGTGTCCTGGCCCCTTGTGCTTCAGAGGGGATCTCTTGCTCCTCAACCTTCCTAGTACTTCCTGGTCCTCTGACACTGGCACAGTAGCCACTGCTTACCACTGCAGTTATGGTGCCCGCGGCTTCTGGTGTTGGGGACCTCTGTGCCGTTGGGGAAGACGCACCAGCAGTAGCCGATGCTCCCATAGCACTGGAGTGGCAGATAGTTGCCGTTCTCGTCGCACTTGGGACGGAACGAACCCGGGTGGACATCAGGGATGTGGCTGACCTCTTCCTGGCACTTGGTCAGTGCTGAAGCGACAGGTATGATGAGGACACAGTGAGTGAGTGAGCTCTGAACCAGGGTGTGAGCAGAGCCAGAGACCCACACACCACTGCTGTGGGCCTAATGCCATCTTTCCAAGTGGCTTTACTCACTCCAGCCATTACACGGATGAGAAAACAGGCCTGAGGCCTAGACCAACAAGGTCTGAGATCAAGAAGGAAGTGAATGGCTGTGTGTCCATTTCACCTCAGAAGTTGATGACTTCTTCCGACACTCAAAGCCCATTGCAGTTTGGGGCCAGGCACAGTGGCTCATGCCTGTAAACCCATCACTTTATGAGGCTGAGGTGGGCAGATCACTTGAGGTCAGGAATTCAAGACCAGCCTGGCCAACATGGTGAAACCCAGTCTCTACTAAAACAAAAATTAGTTGGGCATGATGGTGCCTGCCTGTAATCCCAGCTACTCAGGAGGCTGAAGCAGGAGAATTGATTGAACCTGGGAGCTGGAGGACTTTGCAGTGAACCGAGATGGCACCACTGCAGTCCAGCCTGGATGACAGACTCCGTCTCAAAAAAAATAAATAAAATTACAGTTTGGAATTGTACTTGCAATTCTGATTTCTAGAGAATAGCGATGGGCATCTTGGTAAGTCTAAGCTTGCTGTTACTGGGAGTTCCCAGGCAGAAATGAGGGTTACCATTTGTTTGAGATGTCTTAGAGGGGTTTAATAAAGCATCAGCTAGGAGTTGGTAGAGGTCGCGTGTAAGGTGCCTTCTATGAATCTGATGCAGAAACTGAGGCCCCGGGCAGGATGGCCTTTGATCTACTTCAGGACCCTGAATCCCAGAAGGAAGGAGACTTGGCCCAAAGTTACATAGCCAATTAGAGACAGCACCATGCTAGAAACAGCACTGTGGCTTTGGGGCTAAAACCATCCTAGTCTGTGTTGTCCATGAGGTGGGAAACTTGCAAGGCTCTCTTGGCAAGCAGCTGTGACCTTGGTGCCCTCACTGGAGTTGTAGGCAGTGCTGCAACTCTGGATTACAAGGATTCCTTCCTGGGGTGTTTTGGGCTGGTTTTGCTCCAGGCCCCCTATATGGTGCCATCCTCCATGAGAGAGGTCACCTGTACCCTCTGGTGACAGGCCTTTGTGGGCCCTTAGGAACCCTTAGACAAGATGGGGATGGCCTGGGGGCAGAGGACAGCCAAACCAAGAAGGAACAGACAGGAGAGACGGAAGTGAGAGCTGAGAGGATGGGAGGGTCTGTGGTGCTGGGGCCAGGGAGTGAGACCCCCCCAGGAGAGTACCCCTGGCACCCTAAAACTCCCACTCCCTATACCTTTTGGTGGAGCCTCAGTGGGCTTTTGCTCCAGAGAGTGCTTGCTCATTTCAAACAAGAGCCAATGGTGCAGCCAGCTCTCAAAGACCTAATAGGGATAGAGACGAAGGTCAGGTTCAATGGCCACCATCAAGCCCCTACACTACCTGGCTTTTCCCCTGGGGACAGAAACATGCAGGGCCAAATAGGGCCCCAACACCTGGGTCCAGCTGCAGCCTGGTTCCCCCTTAAAGACCCATGGGGCTGAACCCACACATTCTGCAGTGTCCAAACTTTGGAAGTGCTGGTAAACACCTTCAGCTTCCTGAGAATGGCTTCCCCAGCCCACCCTCACCCCACCTCTCCCAGCCCTGCCCTACACATCAGGTGAGAGACAGTTCCCATGCAGGGGAACTTGCTGACCTTCCAGTCCATGGTCTCCATCGTGTTCTTAAGGTGTTTCAGGTTCTCTGAGAGGCTCCCCTTCAGCGGCGGATATACCTTCAGGGGGTCAGCATTCTACAGGGTAGCAGGGCAGGAAGGATGGTTCAAAAAGAGCTCTCTGGCAGGCAGTGTGACATGTGTAGCCCACATTCCCTTGGTCTTCCATTCTGAGGAATGAACCAGACCTGCACCAAGCCTAAACCCTGGACCTCAGCCATGATGGGATGGGAGCGGCGGGGTAAGAGCAGTCCAGCTGTAGAACAGCAAGACTCCAGGGCTGGGAACTGAGTTTCAGATTCCAGGCTAGCTCTACCAACAAGCCCCAGTCTCCTCCCTGCACAGGGCTGCTCAGCTTTCAAGTCTCACCTGCTCCAGAAGGTGAGGACCCAAACTTGACTGCCCCAGCTGAGTCCTCTGCCTCTTCCCTCACAAAGCCCCCTGCACTTCTGTCATCATCTGGTCAATTGTCTGTCTCCTACACTAGCCTGGGATCCCCATGGCTTCAGGAGTTGGGTCCAGTTGCTCCCCATTGTGGGCCCAGAGCTTTGCACAGTGCCTGGCACAGAATAGACATGTAGTATAAATTTGAGGCCCCAGGAGGAAAAAAAAAGGTGTCTTGAGCAAGTCACTTCCAAGCTTTGAGCCTCAGTTTCTTTTTCTTTTTCTTTTTTGACAGAGTATCTCTCTTGTCACTCAGGCTGGAGTGCAGTGGTGTGATGATCTCAGTTCACTGCAACCTCCACTCCTGGGTTCAAGCGATTCTCCTGCCTCAGCCTTCCGAGTAGCTGGGATTACAGGTGCCCGCAACCACACCCAGCTAATTTTTGTATTTTTAGTAGAGATAGGGTTTCACCATGTTGGCCAGTCTGGTCTCGAACTCCTGACTTAAGGTGATCCACCCACCTTGGCCTCCCAAAGTGCTGGGATTACAGGCATGAGCCACCGCACCCAGCCCAGCCTGTTTCTCTATCTCAAAAATGCAGAGGCCAGACTACATAGAACATTTAAGGGTCATCCTTGTATTCAGTAATCCAGAGAGCACATATTGAAAGTGCCATGAGCCAGGTATACAGGCCTTGGAGCTCAGCCTGGCCGGGGTCCTGGGTGGGCAAGCGGGGCCAGCCAGCTGGCTCCCTGTACTCACCAGGAGCAAGTGCATCACATGGTCCTCCGTCATGTTGCCATGCTTGGTGGCATTCTGCATGGGCTGTAGGAGGAAGGAACAGAAGATTACCAGCACAAGTCCCCAGAGCAGGGGAGAGGGGTGGAGCAGGTACCACTTGGTGGGATCTAGGTAAGAGTCTGAAATCCCAGGCACTTGGTCAGTGAGTCCATCTCTGCCACCTTCAAACATGAGAGCTCGAGAAAGTCACTTTAGCTTCCTGCCTCAGTGTCCTCATTGGTCAAACTGTCATAAGCTTTCCTGCCCAGAGTTTTGTCTACAGCACACTTTTGTGAATAAAAGCATTGTCGATACATGATAGCAAGGGCTTTGAGAATGGGAGGGGACAGTGAGATGCTATGGGAAATGAGTAGCACTTTGTAAACTATAGAGGGCTGAGCCTTCTTCCCAGGGATGGCACCAAGAGACTCTTCTTCACCTGCACCCTCCACACCTGGGAAGCCCTATTCTTCCTGATGCAGGCACTGTGCCTCCCCGAGCAGTAAAGGACCCCTCCCCAACTGGGCTCTCTTCCCTGCCTCTCCCTACCCCTCCCCTTGGTACTGTCCTACATCCAGGCAGGGTAACCTTGCCCCTCTCACCATACTGGGGCTGTCCTTACCTTCTGGGGCAGGCCCGCCATGGGCAGCGCCTGCATCAGCAGTGGGGTGGCCATGCGCATCTGGCTTAAAGGCTTGGCAGCTGTGGGGACAGGGAACAAGGATAAGTGTGGCCCCAGTGCCCAGGGAGAAGGGTATCAGATCCCAGGTCCAGATGAGCAGTGGCGGGAGTCCCAAACCAGAGGGAGAGGACAGTGGCCCCAGCTGGGTGCAGGGATGGCAGCGTCTGAGGTAAGGGACAGTAAGAGGTGGGGGGATGTCAGGATGGAGTAGTGCACACACGCTTGGGAAGCTTCATGCGCAGATTCTCCAGCTGCAGGTTCTGGGAGGTGACCGTCAGTTTGTCCAGCCGGCCCTGCTGCTGGTACAGGAAGTAGGCGGTGGTGGCCTGGCCAGCCAGGAGCAGAGCCACCAGGATGGAGAAGACTGTGTACACGGCTCCGCGGCTGCACTTGCTGTGAGAGACGGGGAGGATAGGTCAGAGGAGAATCCACAGTGGTGGCTGCCCCAAGGGCTGGCTGGCAATGGGGAAATGTATCCCCCATCTCCATCAGCCCCCTAAGCCACCCCTAACAAACAGTGCACTTGAGGCACAAACAAGCTGGCTGTGGAAATGCAGCTTGAAGACCTCGCCCCACCCCTCCTTCCAACCACTGATGCACCTGAAGTCCTCCCAGGCAGAGACCGTGCAGCTGCCCTAGGCCTGAGTTGAAGAAAGAAGAGCAAAGAGCCACCACACTACTTGTCCTCTCTGGACTTTTGTGTCCTCCCTTTGCTTCGAGGATCTCCTGAGGATCAGGGCTGCCCTCAAGGGGAACGGGTTTGGTTTTGGTTTTGGTTTTCTACTGGCAGGATCAACCAGATATGTTATTTTTTTTTAATTGACAAAAAAAAAAAAATTGTATGTACTTACCAAGTAAGGGGAAGATGGTCTTCACCCATCTGCCCAACCTCCCACCCCCACAATGAGATCAGATTTAAGGAGAAAAGGAAAGGAAATGGGACCGGGACAGCAGAAAATGTGTCCCACCTGAAAAGGGGAAGTGGGGACTGGGCATTTTAGGAGTAGGTTGGGGGAGCATTGGCAACATCAGGCTGAAGTAGGGCCAGGCACCACCCACTCTAGGACCATCCTTTGCCCAGGCTCTTCATGTGTCTTTGAGCATGTCCCTGCCAATCTGTGTGCCTCTGTTCCCTTACTTGTCACATAGGTGCCCTTCACCTCTGCAATTCCAGTATTTGGTAGGCTGCTTCTTTTAAGCAAGGTCTCGCTGCCACCACCAAAGTATTTCAAATGGTAATATCCACCCTGCAGGGTGTGGGCAGGGGTCTACGTGCCTGAGCCTGCGTGGCCTGGATGAGTTTCTCACGCTCCCTGGACTCACCATCCAGGCCCTCAGACCTGTGAGCCCTTGTATCTATGGGCCTTGGATGTGATTATGGGAGTGCATGCTATGTTGCAATACAGGGGGTGTAAGGATCCTGCCCTGTATCTTGGGAGTTTCTGATTTGTTCTCTGACTCGCCCCAGGGGTGGGACTCCTAGGACCCTGCTGTGGTTTGAAGGGGTCCCCTCCAAAATCCACGTGTTGCCAATGTGAAGGTGTTGAGGCTTCTCTCTCATTAATGGGATTATGTGCCCTGTAAGAGGGCTTGACGAATGGCCAGGTGCAGTGGCTCACGCCTGTAATCCCAGCACTTTGGGAGGCTGAGGCAGGCAGATCACAAGGTCAGGAGATCGAGATCATCCTGGCCAACATGGTCTATACTAAAAATACAAAAATTAGCTGGGCATGGTGACGCGTGCCTGTCATCCCAGCTACTTGGAAGGCTGAAGCTGGAGCATCGCTTGAACTAGGAAGTAGGAGGTTGCAGTAAACTGAGATTGCACCACAGCACTCCAGCCTGGCAACAGAGTGAGACTCTGTGTCCAAAATAAAAGAGGACTTGATGGAAGGAATTGGTTCTCTCTTGCCCTTCTGCTTTCCACCATGTGAGGACACATCAAGGAAGTCCCTCACCAGGCCGGGCACAGTGGCTCACACCTGTAATTCCAGCACTTTGGGAGGCTGAGGCGGGTGGATTACTTGAGGCCAGGAGTTGAAGACCATGTTGGCTTCAAGTAATCCACCCGCCTCAGCAAAACCCTGTCTCTACAAAACATACAAAAAAAAATTAGCCAGGCATGGTGGCACGCACCTCTAGTCCCACCTACTTGGGAGGCTGAGGTGGAAGAATCACTTGAACCTGATAGGCAGAGGTTGCCGTGAGCCAAGATTGCTCCACTGCACTCCAGCCTGGGTGACAGAAGGAGACTGTCTCAAAAAAAAAAAAAAAAAAGGGCTGGGTGCGGTGGCTCACGCCTGTAATCCCAGCACTTTGGGAGGCCAAAGCGGATGGATCACAAGGTCAGGAGATGGAGACCATCCTGGTCAACATGGTGAAACCCTGTCTCTACTAAAAATACAAAAAATTAGCTGGGCATGGTGGCTCGTGCCTGTGATCCCAGCTACTCAGGAGGCTGAGGCGGGAGAATCGCCTGAACCCAGGAGGCGGAGGTTGCGGTGAGCCAAGATCACGCCATTGCACTCCAGCCTGGGTAACAAGAGTGAAAACTCCGTCTCAAAAAAAAAGGAAAGCTAGGCTGGGTGTGGTGGTTCACACCTGTAATCCCAGCATTTTGGGAGGCCAAGGCAGGAGGATCACCTGAGGTCAGGAGTTCGAGACCAGCCTGGCCAACATGGTGAAACCCCATCTCAACTAAAAATATAAAAATTAGCTGGGCGTGGTCTTGGGCACTTGTAATCCCAGCTACTCAGGAGTCTAAGGAGAAGAATTGCTTGAACCTGGGAGGTGGAGGTTGCAGTGAGCCGAGATCACACCACTGCACTCCAGCCTGGGGAATAGAGTGAGACTGTGTCTCTAAAAAGAAAAAAACAACACACACAGAGACACACACAAACACACAAAAAGAAAGCCCCTCCAGAACTGTGAGAAATAAATTCGTTTTTGATAAATTACACAGTCGGTAGTATTCTGTTAAAGTGGCACAAAATGGACTAAGACCCATTGGGGACTGCCAGGATAAGGCTAAACCCTGCCTACGCCTGGATGGTTTGGGAAACTCCAGGAGACCTTTCTGCCTGGTAACCCATGACATCACAGACTGCCTTATTCTCATTGGCTTGCTGCTTGCCAGTCTGTGCTTTGGGCTAAGGTCCAGCCCAAGGGAGAGTTATTCTGGAAGGAAACAGCAAAATCTCAACGCCGGGAAAGTGGAGAGACCAGATAGGAAGGGAAAACAAATTCTATTTCTTGGCCTTCCCAAGAAATAGCGGTACCCTGGCCTGAGTTCAGGCTCTCCAGCCTTATCTTCCACCTGTTCAGTGCTTCTGCAACCCCACACACAATTCTAGTCCCATCTGTACCTCCCACATGTGACATGGGGAAGTACCTTCTCCTCTCTGCACCACAGTTCCTCAGAAGGCCTAAGAATCTAGAGATTCACCCCGAAGACAAGACCACATAACCTGGATTGGAATCCTGGCTCTGGGGAGTCCTTTGGTTCTGGGACCATCTAAGCTGCTTAACCCTCTGTGTGAGTAAATCTGGGTAAGAACATCTGCTCCAAAGGCTGTTACGTTAAATCAGATGATGAGGGTAAAGCTCTTGGCTCCACACCTAGCACATTGTTAGCACTCTATAAATAAATTACACTCAGTGAGATTCTCAGGGGAGTTCGTAGTTAAGTTTAGCATCTGCTTTTCTTCCTCTTTATGCATCTTGAACGCCTGCCCCTTGTTCTGGTAGAGTGCCAACTCTTGTCACCCCCCTCCCTTTATTTCCTCATTTACACTACCTTCTGGAATTTAAAAAAAACAAAGTCAGGAGCCAACCAGAGCTACCAAGAATCATGACACAGGTGTTGCCAGGCAGAAGTGTTCACAAAAGCCTCCAAAACAGGTTCCAGTCTGGAATGGCCTAAGCACACATGGCCAGCTTTAGAAGCAGTAACTGAATAAAGAGAAAACTAGACAAGGATTAGACAAGGGGGCATGCTCTCTGAACACTGAGCCCACCTGGGTCTGTAAGTCACTGGGTGGTCTGAGCTCAGAGGGGTCCCACCTCCCCTTCCCACAAAATGCACCTCTAAAAGGGGGCTAGATGGAGGTGTGAGCTCACACCTTGATATCAGACTAGCCCTGGTTCAAATTCTGCCTCCGACCACTCACTAGCTATGATTACTTGGGTAAGTCACTTACCAATGTGAGCCTCAATTTCCTCTTCTGTAAAAAGGGTCCATAAAAGTACCTAACTCATAGGGTGACTGTGAGAATTAAAATTGAGGTTAGCCTTTAGGTATGTGTCCTACAAATAATCACAGTACTAACTAATGGTGGCTGAGGCCTGGTGACAGGTACACAGTGGATGGGAACTATTATGGCTATTATTATTATTACTGAGGCTCACGGAGAGGCAGTGATTTATCCAAGGTTACCCATGGCCTAGACCAGAATCCAGTCCTCACAAAGGAGTCTGCCCTCCTTGCTGTGGGATTCCCTGGGGTTTTCACAGGCCACAGCTCTAATGGTCTGCATCAAGTTACCTTGTTCCCCGGAACGAAGAGGGCTCTCTCAAACCCCATTCTGCCTGGCAACAGCTGACATCACACCTAGCCGTAAGTCCCTGTAGATTCCAAATGGCTTTTTGGAGACTGTAGGTAGCAGGAGCATTGGGGTAATAGCCTTCTAGCCCTTTTTAAGGGAAACACATGGGTGAGGCTATTTAGGGGCTGGGAGGCGGGACCTGGGGTCCTCTGGATGGCTGTGCTGGCCTCTGGCTGCAAGGGAGAGGGGCACAGGCAGGGACATGACCCCCATCAACCCTGAGTCCCCTCCAGAAATTTAACCAGATCCTGTCCCTCCTTTCTTGCCTGCCCCCAGCATCTCGCAATCCCTCCTGTGATGGCAGACATTTCCATCTACTCTACAGACACCTGCAAGTATCATTCCCCTGATCCGTGGTAATCAGGAGGGAACTCTGCAAAGAACTGCTTCTACCATCCTCTTTTAGAAACCCTGTTTCTCAGTTGAGCGCGGTGGCTCACTCCTGTAATCTCAGCACTTTGGGAGGCTGAGGCAGGTGGAGGCAGGCGGATCACGAGGTCAGGAGTTCAAGACCAGCCTGACTAACATGGTGAAACCTCGTCTCTACTAAAAATACAAAAATTAAATGGGCGTGGTGGTGTGTGCCTGTAATCCCAGCTATTCAGGAGGCTGAGGCAGGAGAATCACTTGAACCCAAGAGGCGGAGGTTGCAGTGAGCTGAGATTGCGCCACTGCAATCCAGCCTGGTTGAAAGAGTGAGACTGTCTCAAAAAAAAAAGAAAGAAACCCTGTTTCTCCACTGGGATCTTGAACATTTTCAAAGTCTGTTCCAAGGTGTTTATTTTTATTTATTTTATTTTTTGAGACACAGTGTTACTCTGTTGCCCAAGCTGGGGTACAGTGGCGCCATTTTGGCTCACTGCCAAGACGATTCAAGTGATCCTCATGCCTCAACCTCGCGAGTAGCTGGGACTACATGTGTACACCACCACACCTGGCTAAGTTTTGTATTTTTAGTAGAGATGGGATTTCAACATATTGGCCAGTCTGTTCTCGAACTCCTGGCCTCAGGTGATCTGCCCACCTCAACCTCCCAAAGTGCTGGGGTTACAAGCGAGAGCCACCACACCCAACCTGGTCCAAGGTCTTGAACCTAGCATCACGGCCCAGCCTCAGGGGGGTCTGCAAAGCCCCTGGATAGCATGTGAAACTCTAGGGAGAGAATCCAGGCTCTCTTCTGCTTATCAGAAGGAGGGGGTCTGATGCAAGGAAAGTTACAAACTCCTGCTCTAAAGGAACCCCCTCATTTGCCAAGAGAGGGAGCGGGAACCCAGAGCAGGCCAAAGACTTGCTCAAAATCACCCAAAAAGTTACTGTTAGAGCCAGAGCCTGAATCCCTCTTTCCTGTGACTCCTGGCCAGTGCTTCTTCCAGCATATGCACACAGCTCTGCAGTCCAGGATTTGTGTGCCCTTTCTTGGTGCTCACACGTACCTCTCAGGGGCTCCAGGGCGCTGGCCCAACATGGGCAGTTGCTCATTGTTGGAGATAAGGTCGCGCTGGTCGTCCATGACTCTGGCTTCTGATCTTCCCAACAGTTCCTGCTGCTGCTGCTGCTGCTGCTGCTGTGTATATGGGACCCTGAACCCCTGGCTCACCTCTTAAAGTTGGTGCTGGGGAGAAACCTGATTCGTCCACAGGAGGCCACTCCCCCCGACTTGGTAGATGTGGAAGTGAAAGCCACAAAGCTGGAAATACCCCACTTTGGTGAAGCTGCCTTTTGCGGGGCAGGATGTGGAGCCGGGGTGCTCCCCAGGCAGGTAGAAAGGCCAGCGTGATCCCATTGGCTGCCCAAGGCCCTCATCACTTGTTTCTGGGCAGACCTTTGGATTCATAAGGCTCTTCGGATGCTTCAAGAAACAGGCAAATGTCTACTTCCTAGACAGGAAAGCACTTTGAAGCAGAAGTCGCCTTTGTTTGTCTCCCCTTCTCATCTGCAGATGAGTGGACGCAGAGAGGGGCTGTGCCCCCTCCGTGAGCTTAGACAAACCCTCTTCTCTAGCCTCAGTTATGTCATCTCAAAAATGCAGAGGAAGTTTGGACTACCTACTGGGGAAAAAGCCTTTCTTTTCTTTCCCTGTTTAGGTTCTTGGTTGAGACATTCTTCTAAAAACAAAAGTTAACAAAAGAAAAACCAGCCGGCCGGGCGCGGTGGCTCAATCCTGTAATTCCAGCACTTTGGGAGGCCGAGGCGGGTGGATCACGAGGTCGGCAGATCGAGACCATCCTGGTCAACATGGTGAAACCCCGTCTCTACTAAAAATTACAAAAAATTAGCTGGGCACGGTGGCGTGTGCCTGTAATCCCAGCTACTCAGGAGGCTGAGGCAGGAGAATTGCCTGAACCCAGGAGGCTGAGGTTGTGGTGAGCCGAGATCGCACCATTGCACTCCAGCCTGGGTAACAAGAGTGAAACTCCATCTTAAAAAAAGAAAGAAAAACCAGCCAAACTTTATTAACATGTGCCGTACCCATCATGCAGGAGAGGCCTCAGTTGAAAAGTATTTCTCTTTCAAGGCAGTGGCTTAGGGGTCTTGCTTAAGTAGTATTTTAACAAAGAGCCATAAGTCCCATAGAGTGACAGGACAGAGAAGAAGATATCTTCAGGGTCCCAAAAGGAGGGAAATGTAGGAAGACAAATGTAAGGGAAGAGCCAAGTCTGATCCGGATCCTCTGAGTTCTGCTTCTGAGCTGATCAAGGCAGAGAGGAGGGGCAGAGGGTACCCCTGGGTTTTATCCTTTTGCCTTTAATTAAAATCCGCAGGGTTTTAGAGAGGAAGATTTTGGTTTCCTTCAAACCTAAGAGTCCGTGGTTTTCAGACTCTGGCACTCAGACTTGCCTCCACTTACTAAGCCCTGCTTCGTGCCAGGCACCGTGTGCATGCTTTGTTCCTGTAATCTTCACAGAGGCCCTCTGAGGAGTGTTTCATCATCTCCATTTACAGAGAGGGACACAGGGGCTCTTGTCCAGGATCTCACCTCCAGGAAGTGGTGGAGCCTGCGTTTTCAACCACTTTACTCCTCTGCCTCCTTGTGTGGTTCAAATCCAGGAGAACAGGGGCCGGTGCAGGAAGGGAAGAAGACGGCCTAGGAAAGGGTTCCTGGGAGGTGTGACTGTGTTGAAAAGGCTCCTGTGCTGTGATACAGTGAAAAACATCTCTGCTCTCTGTCCCCGATTCCTGACTCAAGGACCACTAAGAGCCATAGAATCTCCAGAATGAGGCCAGGTGTGGTGGCTCACACCTGTAATCCCAGCACTTTGGGAAGCTGAGGCAGGAGAATAACTTGAAGTTAGGAGTTCGAGACTTGCCTGGCCAACATGGTGAAACCTTGTCTCTACAAAAAATGTAAAAATTAGCCGGGTGTGGTAGCACATGCCTGTAATCCCAGCTACTTAAGAGGCTGAGGCAAGAGAATTGCTTGAACCCAGGAGGTGGAGGCTACAGTGAGCCAAGATCGCACCACTGCACTCCAGCCTGGGTGACAGAGCAAGACTCTGTCTCAAAAAAAAAAAAAAAAAAAAAAAGGCATCCCCTGAGTGAGAAGAATGTCTTTTTTTATATATTCAGGAAATGCTGGTAGCCGGAAGCCCCTATATAGCTTTAGGATGGGGGCTGGGAACCAGGTGAAGAGAGGGTCGGGACTTTCAGACCTCACCCCCACCCACCCTGACTTCCAGAGAGGGGAGAAGGACTGGAGGTTGAGTTCAATCACCAATGGCCAGTGATCTAACCAACCATGTCTACATAACGGAACTTACATAAAAACCCCAAACAACTAGGCTTTGGGGTCTTCCAATAGATGAACACATCCATGTGCCAGGAGAGTGGTGCACCCCAACTCCACAAGGACAGGGACAGAAGCTCCTGTACTCAGGACCCTTCCCGTATGCCGTACACTATGGACCTCTTCATCAGCTGCTCATCTGTATCCTTTATAATAAACTGGTAAGAGTAAGTAAAGTGCTTCTGAGTTCTGTGGACCATTATAGCAATTTATCAAGTACTAAGAGGGAGTCATAGGAATCCCCAATTTGTAGCCAAGTCATCAGAAATACTGGAGGCCTGGGCTTTAGGACTAGCATCTGAAGTGGATGCAATCTTGTGGGACTGAGCCCTCAACCTATGCGTTCTGATGCTAACCCCAAGTAGATAGTGCCTGAATGGAATTGAATTGTAGGATACCAGCTGGTGTCCAGAGAGTTGGAACACTGGTTGCTGGTGTAGAAAAAAATCCACACATTTGGTGTCAGAAGTGCTGTGAGTGTAAAGAAACGAGTTCCTTTTATATATCACATTTGTTTTATTAATCTTTATGTATTGTGTGTGCTTTACAATTTGCATTAATAATTTTTTTTAAAGATGTGGTTTTACCATGATGTTCAGGCTGGCCTTCAACTCCTAACCTCAGATGATCCACCCACCGCAACCTCTCAAAGTGCTAGGACTACAGGCGTGAGCCACCGCACCCGGCCAATAATTTTTTAAAATAAATTTAGTCTTTGTGGTTCTAAGGTTCAGTGAGTCTTGGATTTCAAGAGTCAAAGATACTATGTGTATTTTGGGAGGAGAGAGCAGAGCAGCCATGACCTTTGACATGGCCAGACCTGAGTTCAAATCCCAAGTCCAAAACATCCTAGCTGTGAGAGTCCCCGAGCCAGTCCCTCAGCCTTTCTGAATTTGCTTTCTGCTTTGTAATATAGAAATGGTAATACCAGCTTTGCAGAGCTGTGAGACTAAACATTTAGCCAGAGCCTCGCACCCTGGATATGAAACTGGATCAAACTGGAGACACTTTGTAAGTGAAATAAGCCAGGAACAGAAAGTTAAACACAGAATGTTCTAACTCACATGTGGAAGCTAAAAAAAGTTGAACTCAAAGAAGTGAAAAGTAGAACAGAGGATACTAGAGGCTGGAAAGGGTGGGGGGAAGGGAGGGATGGGGATGCAAAAGGATACAAAAGTGCACCTACATAGAAGGACTAAGTTCTGGCATTCTATACCACTGCGGGATGACTAGTTAACAATAATACAGTTTCAAATAGCTGTGAGACAGAGCAGGGACCCCTCTTAGAGGCGGGCCAAGCACCCCACCAACATAAAAATAGAGAAGAATCTAGGCCAGAAATGGTGTCTCACACCTGTATTCCCAATACTTTAGCAGACCCAAGGTAGGAGGATGGCTTGAGGCCAGGAGTTTGAGATCAGCCTGGGCAACATAGTGAGATCCTGTCTCCACAAATTTTTTTTTAAAAATAGCCAGACGTGGTGGCATGTATCTGTAGTCTCAGCTACTCAGGAGGCTGAGACAGGAGGATCACGGGAGCCTTGGGTGTCCAGGCTGCAGTGAGCTGTGGTGGTACATACTGCAGCTGGGGTGAAAGACCTCATTAAAGACCATCACTAAAGAAAAAAAAAAGGGGGGGCCAGGAGCAGTGGCTCATGCCTGTAATCCCAGCACTTTGGGAGGCTGGGGCGGGCAGATCACCTGAGGTCAGGAGTTCAAGACCAGCCTGGCCAACATGGTGAAACCATCTGTATAAAGAAAAAAGATAAAGAAACTTAAGTTTCTTCAAAAGTATTTCAGGCACCTAGCTAGCCTTGAGAAGTAGATGAGCAACTGATAAACAAAAATGCAATAATAACTTAAGACAATAGCCACAAAAGTTAGAATCATGGGATATTTGGCTCCCTATAAAAACTGAAGATAACATCTTTACATACGTCCCTGCATTGCTTTTTGTAAACCCAGACCCCCACCAAACCAATCCTCTGGCACACAGATCTCAGATAAGGGGAGCAGAGGACTAAACTCTAACCACCAGTCTTTGCTCTAAATTTCTTCCTCTCACACCTGTCATCTCAGCACTTTGGGAGGCCAAGATGGGAGGACTACTTGAGGCCAGAAGTTTAAGACCAGCCTGGGCAACAAAGCAAGACCCCTATTTTGTAAAAAAATTAATTAGCCAGGTGTGGCAGCACACACTTGTAGTCCCAGCTAGAGGGGAGACTGAGGCAGAAGGATCACTTGAGTCCAGGAGTTTGAGGTTGCAGTGAGCCGTGATTGCACCAGTAAACTCCTCCAGTCTGGGTGACAGAGCAAGCCCCTGTGTCAACAAATAATAAATTTTAAAAATTAAAAATAAATAAATTTCTTTCTGAGGGGCCTGGAAGAGACCATGCCACAGGTCGGAGCTAACGTTCTTTTTTTCTGACCCCAAATTTTAGACAAAGCTTCATCTCTTTAACCAAATGCAACTCAGAAAACCTTTAAATCCACTCATGACCTATGGGCCCCTCTTCAAGATGTTCCCCCTTTTTAAGTCGAACCAATATAGCCTTCATGCATTGATTTACAATTTTGAGTATAACTTCTGCTTTCCTCAAACTTACCCCTGACTAAAAATCCTTGCTTACAAGCCACTGGAGAGGTCGTGTTTCTTTGTTTTGTTTCAAGCGACCCTCCTGCCTTGGCCCCAGCGTGCTGGGATTACAGGCATGAGCTGTTGCACCCAGCCAACGTCAGATCTTAAGCATGAGCTGCCCTATTCTTTTTCTTGGTCATCTACAAATAAATACCCTCATTTCATCCACTACAAACCTCTACGTAAATATTTGGCCTTATGATGCCTTGAGAGCAGACCCTCGTTCAATTCAGTAACAGCTTGAAAGAGGATATTGAATGTTCCCAACACAAAGAAATGATAAAATTTGAGATGATAGATATTACCCCCACCAAAAAAACAGAAGTGAAACT